AACATGCATTCTTCCCGGTCTGCGGATCGAGATGTCGCAAAAGCCGTTAGGCAAGTGAAGCGGGAGATTGTCAAGAGTTTCTTAACGCCAAAAGGAGGAACTATTTCTTGGTAAATCCTACACCCATATAGTATTTTGTAACAACGATGCCCAAAACGCACAATTTCATTCCTTGTGTATGCGCGCAAGCGATTGTGCCAATGCCAAACATTTTGTACGATGTTTTTTGTGGCAAACCGCCGAAATTAAAAAGTGCACAAACTGCAAATTAGTAACATGAAAGTGCAAAGGTATGTGATGTAACGGCCCTCAACGATCGCCTAACCAGAATAAAAGCATGCGAACAGGAATCTTTTATCAGATCTACAGATGCACCCGGATTAACAAAAAAGTGCAATCGGTTCACCCTCCCATAAAAAATTATCACTTCAAAAACGCATCAGTTTCGTTTAACGTAGATTCTTACGGCTTAACGGTAGGGCGGCAGCACCCACCCCAAAAACGGTAGATCTGCCGTTAAAACGGTAGACCTGGCAAGCCTGCGTGCAACAAACTTCTCCTTTTCTCCACACCCCCCTGTAAACTGCCGACTCGATCCGCCCTCGTACCCCGTCGGGCGGCTCGAACGATCCCGAACCGATGCACCCGTTTGCTTCGGTCCAGATGAAATATGTAGGGATTCTGGATACGGATAAAAGGGGTGTGTGTCGGGAGTGGGCCGCAAATTCGGGCGAGGGTTCACAAAATTTCCGAAATAGTTCCGAACCTGATCCGTGATGATGGTCGAGAGTTTCGCGTCGAAACGCCGGCGAATTGCTGTGGGGTTGAATCCGCACCTCAAGTGGGTGGTGAGCGCAGGCATGCACGGGAGGGTCTGTTGAACTGTGACGTGGGAAAATGTTCAGGACTATTGACACACTTCTGCTGCTTAAAGCGAATCTGTAGCGTTGCCCCTGTTCCGCTACGAGTTAACTAACATGTCTTGGGAGTCGCTCCATTCCAGGGAATTTGGGTAATTGCCAATCCCTGCTCCTGCAAGGAGGTCATTCAGGGTTTCGCTTGACACCTGTTCACTTTTGATGCAAAATATTGCATTCATGTCTGCTTCCAACATGTTGATTGGCCGTTTCAGGAACTTTAACAGCATCTACCATCGGTCAGGGCCGGGGGTCAGTCATCAACTGTCGGCAACCAGGCTGCTGGCTTCTCCCGAAGGATCAAGACACCCCTTGGAGAGCTCAAGCCATTCCTGGCCTTGGAATGGCTCCTACTCCAGCTTACACCGAAACACCTACACGGAAGTGCGCACCCTTAAGAGCTCCAACTGCACTTTTGGCTGCTTCCAACTGTGCCGAGCCAAGGTCGCAAACAGCATAGCTAAAAGAAAGGTACCTACAGTGCAGCTCAAGTTCTGAAAGTGAAACTTCTGTTTTGATTGTTTGATACTTCTTGGTGCAGGTGGAGCAAGGCATGAAGCTTTACAAGCAGCACAAGCAGCAACAGGCCGTGCGAAAGTGGAAAACTTCGCTGAAGGCGCTCGAAAAACGCGAAGACAAGTTTAGCGTCTTGGGGTACCTATACCTGGCCTACATGGATTGGGGCAAGTACAGGTAAAGTGCCTTCAGTTTTGGTCTAGAATGGGAAATTTAAATCAGCCTAAGTTGTGTGGAAGAAAACGGTGCGGTAAATTGCCGATTTTTCAATAAAGCCCCTGTTATGATCGGCCAACGCACTAGACCATTTTTCGGAAGGTTTTTCGAGGTTTAAGGGGTCGTACTCGGCGATGTGCAAGCGAGTCCGAGCGAGTGTGCAAACAGGGTGATCCAAAATTGGCGTCATTCCTCTGGAGGTGTTGTCTGGGCAAGGGCGGATCTAGAGGGGGGGGTCATGGGGGTCATGACCCCCCCCCATTCAATTCTCTATCCAACGATGCCAAAACGAGTTCTCTGGCTCGAATGGTTCTTGAGAAACTTCGAGAAAAGCACCGTCATGTTCAAGTGGATTTTGCAACTCAAACAAAAACCACGCAAATCTAAAACTTCTTGAATTCAAGCCTTTTTTGAGAAAACTGCCAACATTTCCCCATCCATGGTTCACTTTCTAAAAAGGCCA